CATGTGCATATTTGGTTCATTAGGCGCTGGTTTGGCCTCAGTGAGTTGTGTAGTCCAGGGCTTAGTAAATTCACTGCTCTGTAAACTCCAGAGGAAGGGAGGGCATTTGCGTGAACTGAGGCGTGTCCCCAGAAGGGTCTGTGTGGAGGCCCGCCCACGGGGAGGGACGGGGAGACTGTGCCGCGGCCTCTCGTCTCACCACCCAGGAAAGGAGGTTTCAGGAGAGGCCAGCAGCACTTAGGGGTCCCCCGGCGCCCTGAGCATCCTGGCGGCCGCGCCCGGCTGCGTCTGGACTGGAAGGTCTCCTCCACTTAGGAGGTCCTTTTGGCCTGTGTCTGCCGCCCTTAACTGACACCCTCAGAGAGTAGTCCAGCCCTTTCGTAAGCATTTGAACCTGCCGCTGGCTGCCCGCCTAAGGAGCTCACTGCCTCACTGGCGCAGAGCTTAGATCTCTGCCCCCCTTCCCACTGGCCCAGAATCCTTTGTGTCCCCGGCCAGCCCCCCTCCCCCACAGGCCCGAGGGTGGGCCTCTCCCAGGTCTCCCCGTCCCAGGGCGGTGGTCTTTGCGCTCTCTTCTCAGGGTGGGTACCCTTGCTGACTCTGGTTCTCCACTTCAGAGAGAAGTGTCAGGGCTGTCCTGAGAGCAGTGAGGAGCGCCCCACGAGGGCACCGCACAGACAGGGAAGTCTCGACTCCCAGCAGCGCTCAGCTTCAGGCTTCCTCAGGAGCTGGTCCTGGCTCAGCGCCCAGAGCCTGGGCACGCCCTCAGGTAGCCTTGGGGCGCTGCAGGCCTGCTCAAGAACCGTCTGTCCTTCGGTCAAACCTAGTGCTCCCGGGTCTGTTTTCCTCACTGATAGTTTTGTAGGAGTTGAGTTTGGTTCTCTAACCCTGGTTGAATGGGGTCAGGTGAATATTATGTGCAACTTTGAGTAACTTGCAATAAAAGCATTTTCTGCTGTTATCATGATGAATTTAGGAAGACAGTTAAAAATAATTAAAGTATGTATTTTAGGTTTTTCTAAATTTCCTTGTCTGCTTTGAGAACATGCTTTTCATAGAGGGATCCACCAATTCTCAATGTTAAAACCGCACTTAAGGTTTTTTCCCCTTTTTCTTTTTCAATCTAAAATAGGTAAAACCTTATTAGCCAAAGCAGTAGCGAACCAAACCTCAGCCACTTTCCTGCGAGTGGTTGGCTCTGAACTTATTCAGAAGTACCTGGGCGATGGCCCCAAACTCGTTCGGGAACTGTTTCGAGTTGCTGAAGAACACGCACCATCCATCGTCTTTATTGATGAAATTGATGCTATCGGGACAAAAAGGTAGCTCTCTCTTCCCTCTTTCGTGTCATTAACGGGTAGCGCTTGCCGCTCTGCTCTGGGAATGGGGGCCGTGGGCAGGCCCGGGAGGCTGCGTGCTGGCTTGCCGCGGTCCCCCTGCGCCACCCCCCGCGGATTCCGGGGGCTCCGCCGCGCCGTGCACAGGCAGCAACTCCCCGTCAGCGGGTTCAGTCCGTCCACAGCCGTGCCGTGAGCACCGGCTCGGAGCCTGGCACCCTTCGGACTCTGGAGACAGCGGTGAAGATGACTGCCCTCGAGGAGCTCCCACGTGGAGACTGAATACAACTGATACAGTTTCAGGCATGAAAATGACCACAAGGAAGCTACTGTGGTGTTCAGCCTGGGCTCTGGGCGGAGAGACACACGGGTGGAGACGGCCGTGTGAGTGCCTCCGCCAGCTGGGCAGGGCCCTCACGCCCCGCTGCTTCTCTCAGGTACGACTCCAACTCGGGCGGGGAGAGAGAGATCCAGCGCACCATGCTGGAGCTGCTGAACCAGCTGGACGGGTTTGACTCGAGGGGAGACGTGAAAGTCATCATGGCCACAAACCGCATAGAGACCCTGGACCCGGCCCTCATCAGACCAGGTCGGGCTGCGTGGGCTCTATCGTGGAGCGCGGATGCGCTGACGTGGCTGTCTGTCTCTAAAGGGCACTTTGGGGAGGGTGGGTTAACAGGCGATATGTACAAAGGCAAATACTGCCTTGAAGCTTGGAGTAACTTACCAAAACTGGGTCCCCTTGAGATAATATTAAGTGGGATTGTGATGTACTCTGTATAGCCTGACATTTTTAGCCCCGAGACGCTTTTTTTTTTTAAGATTCGGCACAGGACACTGACTGAGATGACTCGTGTGAGGAGACGAGGCCTCTCTCAGCCAGGGCCGGGGCACCAGGGCTGTGACTGAAAACCTCGTGTGCCCACAGGCCGCATTGACAGGAAGATCGAGTTCCCCCTGCCCGACGAGAAGACCAAGAAGCGTATCTTCCAGATCCACACGAGCAGGATGACACTGGCCGACGACGTGACCCTGGATGACCTGATCATGGCTAAAGATGACCTCTCTGGTGCCGACATCAAGGTGAGGCCCTGGGCTGGATTGTACTGTTTTATCATGTGTTCCCAGACGCTGAGGGGCGGGGTGTGGCAGCCGTGACTGGGCACGGCCTGCTCCCTGCAGGGGCACCTGGGTGACGCTCCAGTTAGGCGGGGGCGCATGCAGTCCTGGTCCCGCTGCCTGCGCTGAACTGCGTCTCACTGACATCTGTGGAACTAGGCTGGTCTCAGCGGGGGAGTGAGGTGACATTATTTTAAAATCTTAACTTTTTATTTAGAAAAAAATTTTCAAGCCTTCAGAAAAGTTGCAACAATAGTAAACACCCATATACTCATCACCTCCATTTACCAAATGTTACCCTTCCACTTGTTTGTTTTTTGTGTGTAGAAATACTCTTTTCCAAATCACTTGAAGTAAATGTGCTGCTGAAGGCCATAACCAGATAGAATCTTCAATGCCAGGATTGTGTTTTTATCGTGTTGCTTGGGCTCTTGTTTTAGTTTTGGCAAGTAATTATTGAGAAAGTGAATAGATTTGAATATATACTGTCTGAAACTTGTATAAACATCTAACCAGAATATATTTTCTCTTAAGACTGTAGGTAAATGAAATGGATGTCACTGTTTGTGGCCTCTGGATATCATTTTATCTATCTCTTAGGATTATTCCCTTTAACGAAAGCAGAGCTTTGAGGATTTATTGGCCTGCCAGGCTACACAGCTAGTTAGAGCCTAAGACAGGCCTTTTCCTTAATGAAATACTCTCAGGTTAAGCCCCCTCAGGTCCTTTGAGAAAATAATTAGGATGCTTGAAACATTAAGTTTGAAAAAAATGTGTTTGGCCTGGATGCCAACACCAGATTTCCGAATAGTGCTCTCTGAATTGTTAGTGTAAAAAGCATCTCCTCCTCTGAATACACTGTTCTTTCACACAGGCAATCTGCACAGAAGCGGGTCTGATGGCCTTGAGAGAGCGCAGAATGAAAGTAACAAATGAAGACTTCAAAAAGTCGAAGGAAAATGTTCTTTATAAAAAACAGGAAGGCACCCCGGAGGGGCTCTATCTCTAGGGACCAGAGTTAACTTCCAGGAAAGGCTCGGAGGGTCCCGGCCCCTGGGGTGAGGTTGGGAGGGAGCTGCCTGGGCGCCATTGTGCCACTGGCCGCGGTTGGCGGAGCGTCCCGCGTCCCTCCCGAGCGCGCGTGTAGGGCCCTGGCGGGCTGCCAGCGTCCCAATAAAGCGTTCTTTCTCTTAACACGAAGTCCTGTCCACACGCTGGGTGCTCCGTGGCCGGAGTGGGTGGGCCCAGGTGTGGGGAAGCCTCTTGGGGGATCCGGGGCACTGCAGGCTGTGTCCCTGCGGCACAGTTCCGCCGAAGGCAGCTCTGACAGCAGCCGCTGGTTCGTGAGCACACGGCCGGCCACCTCTGCTGTGGAGGCCACAAGGCTACGACCCCCCGGCCGGGGCGGCCCCTGGAAGGTCTGGGGCAGGAAGGGAGGACTGGGGCTGCTGAGACGGGGTCTCAAAGGGGCAGCCCTGCGGCGGCCAGCACCCGTCCCTCACCGGAGTTCAGAATCGCCGGCGCCGCCCCTCGCTTGGCTCCCTCCGCCCCGTGCTCTGCTCCGTGCGGCCCTTCCCCCCAGCTGGTATCCCTCCGTTTCTAGCCCAGGTTCCACAACGCCCGCTTTTCTGGACGAGTGGCCAATGAAATTCGCTCTCAGCAGTTCTAGAGAGCATGATTTAAGAAACGCAACGCAGAGAAGTCCACTGTGTTTAAAAAAGCAGGACCTCGGAGAAGACACAGCATTTCCGCTCCGCCGGCTGTCGATCACCGCTCTTGAAAATGGGAACGAGTGCAGCACCGCTGACGCGGCCGGAAGCGGACGTTCGGCATCTCTGAGGCAGAGACGGGTTCGCCACGGAGGAGCAGGACGCACTCTGCAACTGGACCCGGGCCCGCTCCCCTGCAGCGGGGTCCCTGTTTGTTCAGTCCCGACAGGGGTCCTCCCTCTTGGAGCCCGATCTGACTCGGCAGGGCCGCGGGCCCAGGGTCTCCACGGGCACGAACTCCAGGCGACCCTGCCCGCCGAGTCCGCAGGCGAGAGGTCCGCGAGCGGAGCTTCGGGAACAGGAAGGACACGCGTGGTGCAGCTGAGGACTCCGAGCTGTACCCGATTCCCTGCTGCTCTGGTCTGAAGAGGGGCAGAGCAGGCTCACCAGCCGCAGGGAGGAAGGCCTGGTGAGTAACCAGACCTTTCTTTCGACTGCAAGAGCCAGGAGATGTGGCAGGATCCCTAAGGATGCCAACAGGAAGAACCTTCACCCGGGCTGGGCAGGGGAGAGTGGGCCAGAGGGACCCACACGGAGCGTGACAGCTTTGGCGTGATTCTTGTCTGTGCACATACATATTCACACGTATGTGCAAAACAACAGCTTTGTGTCATCTGCATGTGCAGAAACTGTGCAAGAGGTGAGACTGGCAGCCCAGACACTGACAGGGAAGACCCTGCAGGGCACAGGTCTGGGCACACCCGTTCCCGTGTCTTGGGGCTGGTCGCGGCCCCCAGGGTGGGCCCCACGGCCCCACCCCACCCCCACCCGGCGTCTAGTCCTCCAGCAGCAGCTCCAGCTCCTCCAGCGGCAGGCGCACCCGCAACTCCTTCTCCGTCATCAGGTCCACGACCTCCTGCATCTCGTCGGGGAAGTACTCCACGGCGTCCATGTACAGCGCCTGGGCGGGGGTGACGCCGGTCAGCGGGCGGCCCCCGCCCCCTTCCTGCCCTAACTCGGGGCGCCTTAGTGAGCCCCAGGGGGCACAGGCGCCCGGCCTCTCTCCAAGTTGGCCCGGAAGCTGCTGACACGGCGGTCCCCACCCGTCTGCTCTCTGAGCATCCCCTGATCCCGGTGCTGCAGGCAGAGTTGAACGTGACTCCCAACACGCTCGGGGGTCTGGGCTGGGCTTTGGCAACTGCTGGGAACCAGCTGCGCCCCCAGACAGGAAACAGGCCCCTCAGGCTGCAGGGGGCGCGGGAAGCCCTGAGGGGCCAGGCCCACGGCACTGACCGCATGAGGTCTGGCGGGAAGGTCCCTGAGAATCCAGAGACCATGCCTGGAGAACTCACCTTTGCCCAAGGACAGTTCTGCAGTGCTTTGTAGAACACACCTTTGCTTCTTTCTTTATTTCCTAAGGAAACCTGAAGCAAGGGGAAAAAAAATACAAAACTGAGGAACTGAGACAGAATCTAAGGCCATCAGCCGCTGGCCCACACGGGGCAGGGGTGCAAGGGGTGCGGGGGCCGCGCGCTGTGGGACACCCTCGCGGCCTCTGCTGCGTCAGCGGGCCTGAACCGGGCCTTGAACACGGCTGACCTATCTTCCTCTCCTCCTCTCCCACGTGCTGAGGAGGATGATGACAGAAAAGGATTGCTTTAACACTAGCCATTTTTTGAAAACTATCTTACAGAAATGAGATAACCAGGATTAACTGAGTCAAGAACCTTGTCAAGAGCAAATTTCTGATCAGGAATTTCAGTCTGAGAGTGCGCAAATAGCACATTTCTACTCTAAGCACGTTTTTATCCAATGCATGTGCGCTAAGTCACTTCAGTCATGTCTGACTCTGTATGACCCCATGGACTGTAGCCTCCCGGCTCCTCTGTCCATGGGATTCTCCAGGCAGGAACACTGGAGCGGGCTTCCATGTCCTCCTCCAGGGGATCTTCCTGATCCAGGGATGGGAGCATGTCTCGTGTCTCCTGCACTGGCAGGTGGGCTCACCACCGGTGCTGCCTGGGAAGTGTTCATACAACACTGAGGTATGAAGCCTTAGTCTCAACTCACAGGCGCTCTTCCCACACCTGCTGCGGAAGCCGGCTCCCCTACACCCCCTCCCCCGCTAGCTCCCCTCTCCCAGGTCCCGGGAAGGGACCAGCCGCTCCCCCAGGAGTCACAGGCCCCCAGGCAGCTCCGCGGGTGGGTGCCCACAGCTGTGAGTGGGCACAAGCTGAGCTCGTGGAGCTGAAGTCTGGACTTCTGGAGGTTCCCATCCCACATCAGGAGGCAAGACATGAACTCTACACTTTTGAGCATGAAGAATAAATGTTAAAACCACAGAAACTTTGATAATTCATCCTGGGGCCGCCTGCTGCCCGTTTGTGCTGGGTGTGTGCCTGCGAGCTGCTGTCTTGAGACAAGCTACCCAGGCCATTCAGAGCTCGGGGGAGGTGCTCCCAGATAAGTTACAGACTCTAAGAGGCTGGGGGAGGCCCAGACTTCTAACCCTAAACTTCTCCTAGCCCCTACCTTCCTCTCTGCGTCTCTTTACACCCCTCTCTATCAAATGTCATTGGGAAATGTTCAAATATTTTGATCAACTTCTGAGAAATTATCCTATGGAAGTAACCAGAAATATACACATTTATGAACAGGGAAAGTCACGCAGGGCTTCTGAAAGGCACAGTAGTCAATTGAGGGCACTTTGACAGGACAACAGCCATGAGCGCTGTCTAGACACTCAAGTGGCCTGGAAGACGCTGTTTCTAAAAAACCACAAAACTCGGCAGTGAATGTATCATAATACAGGAAGTCCAGCCCAATGTCAGGCCTTTAACCAAAGACAAAGCCAACTCAGACCCGGTGAAGCCCAGGAACCACCTTTCGGCCTGCAGAACACATTGACAAAATTAAATGGCTGTGGTGCTTCTAAGTAAAAGCAAAGTTGCTTTGGAAATGCCTATTTTAAAAACCACAGTCCAGACTGAATATTACCTTTTAGTTAACAAAATAGAATCAGGACCTGGAAATTCTTAGAAGCAGAATAGCAACACATTTAGGTCTCTTTTGAATGAAAAGCTCTCAGACCAATTTCCAAGTTGTTTCCTCAATGAAGTCAACTCAGAAACCCACAGATCAAACCTGGGCCAATGGCCCAGGCGGTCCTCCTCAGTCACTCCACCAGGGCCCCTCCCGGGTCCTGAGCGCCCCCTCACTGAACCAGGCCCCTCCTGGGTCCTGAGCACCCCCCTCACTGAACAAGGCCCCTCCCGGGTCCCAGGCGCCCCTGCCCCGCTCTTCTGGAAGAGGAAGCAGCTCTGCAGGGAACAGGAACCCGGCGTCCGTCCCTACCAGGAAGTTCAGGTACATCCTCCACAGCAAGGGGCACTGGCTGCCGTGGGTGCTCCGAATGGTGCTCTCAAACAGGGCTCTGATCCGGTGCGTCAGGCCGATCTCGGGAAGGGTGGCGTGGACCTCTCTGCCGTCCACCCTGCAAGACAGAGGCTCATGTGACTCCGGGACAACCGCTCAGGCTGATGCCGAAGCGGGGTCAGCGACGGGGTCGGAGCGTGGCAGTGCTGCCCCGGGTCTGGGGTGCGGGGGTACGTGGCGCAGGGGAGACGTGGCTCCTCCAGGGCTGGTGGAGCGCAGCATCCAGGGCTCTGTGGGGCCTCCACCCTGCAGAATCCAGCCTGAGGGCACACAGACTCCTTTTCTCAGGAGAACCTACCCTTCATCCGCAGAGTGCACATTTACCGTGAGACCTTTCAGTTCAAAGTAGAGTGAATAAAATTCGAATGGAAAGGGTGAAACACAAGGAAACTGAAATACTATTCAGAGGCAGTCTGGAACACCACCTCTCTCAGGTCAGAGTAAAACAACAAAGCTAACATGTGCCCAAGCCTACTGCTTAATGTTCAGACATAAAAGTGTTACCTAAAAAGAGACATTTAAAGCGTGACCCCGTTATCACCAGTGATAATAACACAAGCTAGTAATTATTTTGGAGTCTGTGCTCAGCACTCCGTCTTCCCAGAAACCCTCTGAGGCAGGCTCTTTAATTATTCCCATTTTACAGAAAGGGAACGGACCAGAGCTGTGAACTGCCCTGCCCAAGATCACACAGCTGCCACGTGGAAGCGCTGGGATTTGACTCCAGGCCCGAGTGCCTGCCCCACACGTGCTCTGCAAGGTCTCAGACCCCGCAGGCGGGGCCGTCAGACTCAGGCACCAGAAGCAAAGCCCAGGACGCCCTGGAGCGAGGCATGGGAGACACCCCAGGAGCCCTGGCAAAGGGGCCGCTCTCTGCCCTAACTCCTTTTTCAGCACACTTTCCGGCCGCTCCTTGCAGATCTCTTTCCTTTTTCAAGGCATTTTCCTGTAACAGAGACTGCACCGCTCCCGCCACCCCCGCAGGCGTTCCAGGCCCTGGGCCGCGAGCATTTCTGTCTTCCAGAGGCTGGTGGGCCGTGGGAACCATGACCACATGGGGGGCCTGCGGGCCACGGATGAGGTGCTCTGTAACTACCTCTGCACGGCGTCCACCAGTCTCTTCCTCATTCTCTCCGCCTCAATTGCGAACAGCCACGGCTCCAGGTGTTTGGCGGACCTGGTGACGGCGTGGAAGAATCTTCTGGTCCTGCTGGCGCTGTGGGCCTTGCTCTGAATCTGCACGTACGACCTCCAGAGAAGCTGGTTGCCCGGGTACAACCGTAAAGCCTCTGAGAGCGCCTCTCGCAGGGGAGCCAGCGGGTAGGCGGCAACCCGGCCGTGGAACCTGAGCAGGCTGGTGTGCATCAGGGCGACGGCCTCCAGGGCGCCCTCCAGGCCGGCACCCTCGGCGGAGACGGAGCCCCTGAGCCCTGCAAACACCTGCTCGTAGACGCGCGCAGCGGCGCCGACCCCCACGGTCAGGTACTGGAAGAGCATGAAGCACTTCGCCAGGCTGACCAGGCGGCTGAGACAGTCGGGCAGGCCCGGGTCGGGGCCGCGGCGCTCCGCCAGGCAGTCCTGCAGCGCGTGTTCATACGCCTTCCGAGCCTTCAACACGTGCACGGCCGAAGGCTGTCCGGGGCAGGGCCCCGAGGGGCCGCGCTCGGCCAACCCCGTCAGCACGCGCACCGCGCGCGCAGGCGCCGCCCCGCCGACGGGCGGCGCCAGCTCCGCCTCCAGCGCCGCGTAGAGCAGGCCGAGCTCACAGAGCTCCGCGTCCGCCAGGCCGCGGCCGCCCGCGGTGCCCAGGGCCGCCTCGAAGACCTTCCGGGCATCCTCCGTGTTGCCCAGCAACCACTCCAGATGCGCATACTGCTGCCAGAGGCAAGCGCTGTTGCGGTTGTCTGGCTCCTTGAGCAGATTCTTGGCTAGTTTTTTGCAGTTCTTTCCCAGAGACTTTAACCTCTTCTTGTTTTTCGTGTGCAGACACCAAATGACCTAAAGGTGAAAAGGAAAAGAATGACTTCAAATGCTCCGAAACGTTAAAGACACCCCTTTGTACTGTCGAGTCCTCTGGTGGCTCAGATGGTAAATGATCTGCCTGCAGTGCGGGAGACCTGGGCTCCATCCCTGGGTCACGAAGATCCCCTGGAGAAGGGAATGGCAACGCACTCCAGCCTTCTTGCCTGGAGACTCCCATGGACGGAGGAGCCTGGCGGGCTGCAGTCCATGGGGTCACAGAAAGTCAGACACGACTGAGCGACCACACTTTCGTTTTTTCTTTGTGCTGTCAGCTGCAGGAAGCCACACAAGGCGTCTACACTGCCTGCCTCCGTCACATATCTGGTAAACACATAGGCTCCCTGAGAAATAGGTCAGGATTCTACCAAGGCCACGGGAGCCCTGAAATGAACACGCCCAGGTTTCCATCTGACACTCCTGTAACAAGGCTTATACACCCCAAACAGCCTTCTTCAAAGATAGGTGAAATCCATAGGCTTTCCCAGGCAAGAACACTGGAGTGGGTTGCCATTTCCTCCTCCAGAGGACTCTTCCTGAGCCAAGGATCAAACCCGCGTCACCTGCATTGGCAGGTAGATTCTTTACTGCTGAGGCAGCAGGGAAGCCCCATCAGAGTTTACCAGACACTATTTTAATAACACAGCCTGGTGTGTGCCCTTTGCAATTAAGGGATCAGGACTTCGGACGTTAAAATTTAATTCTGGCTGGTGGCCAGCAGAGGGCAGGAGAGTCGATCCTAGACGGGAACGGACACCAGAAAGTAGAGTAAGCAGCTTACTTTACCTATTTTAATAAGCCCTTAAATCCTCCAGCCCAGCTTAAGCCTAAGCGCGGTCCTTAACGCTAAGTGCCGACAGTCACAGACTCGGCAACAGAGTCAGCACAGCAAACAGCTCCGGTCACTGATGAACTGGACTCAGGGCCCCTCTTCCCTGCGGCCCCGAGAAGGCGGTGCCCTCGGGTCCCTGAAGGAGGAGGTGCTGTGGCCCAGCGCCCTGCCGACAGAGCCACAGGAGCTGAGGTCCCCACCCAGGGAGAGGGACCCAGCGTTACCTTGGTGATCTCGTACCGTAGCCAGAAGATGCAGAGCTGAGACCGCTCCCTGCCTGCAAACAGAGGCAGCACCACGTGGAAGACGTTGCGGATAAACTCCTCGCCCTCTCGACTGGGACCCCGGGGCCAGCGCCGGCCACCCAGTGGGTCCATGCGGCCCACACAGCCAACGCCGGAGCAGGAGAGGTCGAGGAAAGTCAAGGGCTTTTCGTCATAAAGTTCGTTGTCGAAGATGCTGTTCTCATCCATGGCCAGATAGAGGCAGGAGGCGGGAGGGCTGAAGCCAGAAGGCACCCCCAGGAACTGCAGGAAGGCCGCAATCAGCTGAAACTGGAGATCCGGGCTGGAAAGTCGGATCAGAGACTGCCCGAGATCGTCAAACAACACCTGCGAGGACAAAGACGGTGTGACCGAATGCGGCGAATAGACAGACGTTTCCCACCGCCTTTGTAAACTGTGTGTGGCTGTGCCGGGTCCTTGCTGCCGTGTGGGCTGTGCTTCTGTCGCCGTGAGCGGGGCTCCCCTTGAGCCGTGGAGCCAGGCGTCTCCCTGCAGAGCCCGCACCCCAGGGCACACGGGCTCCGCTGCCCCACGCGGGAGGGCTCTTCCTGGACCAGGGCCCGAGCCCGTCTCCTGCTGGGCAGGTGGATTCCCGACCACAGAGCCACTGGGCGGCCCCTCACCACCCCCAGCAGTTGTCTTCACATGGATGTGCGCCAACATTACTCAATTTTTAACACACAGGAGCCAGGTTTTCTGTGAGATGAGGCAAGCTGAGGGGGGCGGGTGTGCAGGGGGCAGCGTCTCACCCCTCCTGGGCGCCCTCCGCAGGAGGGAACACCAGAGCAGGGACTGCCGAGGTCGCCTGATGGATTTGCAGGAAATCCAGAATCGCATTCGCTTCTGAGAACACATGGCGTCGCTTTTATAGTTACTTTCATAAGTTACAGTTGGGAAAAATTTTTATTTCAAGATAGAAGAACGTTACTGTTTTGTGGTTTCTTTGTACCAAATTGCTTCAGGAAATGAAAAATATGCTCCAAAATATATAAATAGCAGCAAAGGGAAAAGGAGACTGCGGGAGCAATGGGCCATGCTGGGAGCGATTATAAGGGCCTCATACTAACCGTGCTCATCACTGGCTTCACGTCACAGCTTTAAACCGTGAGGCCTCGGGGACGACACTCTGTCTCTGGCCCTGCTCGCCTGGTGTCTGCTGCCCTCAGCAAAGAGGAAATCAAAACACGACCACGATAAGACTGGACCACCTGGGACTCGACCCATCAGAACCATCAATTAATCAAAAAGCTTTTCTCCTACAGGTTTTCACCAAAGCAAAGAAATATAAGAACGTGCTCACAGCAGTACGTGGCTCCAGGAATGAGCTTCCAGGAAATCGTCAAATTGCTGAGCCTCAAGAACTTCTGGAGGTCAGCCATATAAAACCCTCACACACCAAAGACAAACCCCACCCACTTTCTGCAAACTTCGGCTCAGCCAGGGCGGGGACCTCGCATACAGACTCAGTTCCCTGGGAATCTGGCCGCTCCCTCCTGCCCAGAGAGCACCTCTCTCCTTCTCCCTGATCCTGGGTGCTTAACACCAGGCTGGCCACCCCCTTCACCTCTCCTGGGACACCCCAGTCCTCTGGGGCCTTCAGCCATCCCGATCCCTCTGCTGGAGTGCAAGCACCCAGATCAGACAGATACTTGCTCGACATCCAGGACTGGCAGAGGCCTTGTCACGGGGCACCTTCTGTCCAGACATTGGGGACGCAGATGCAAACAGGAAAAGTCCCCACCTCGAGGCTCGTGCTTTGTCAGAGCCCGGGAGCCTAGCTGCTGTAAAACCTCTCGGTCTATACCCGTGACTGTCACAGGCCAGGCACACCGTGGACCCAGACCCTAACTCGCACATGGGTTTTTTCACTAAGCATGTCCCCCAGGACCACATGACCCATGGCTGGTTGAATCTGAGGCTATGGAACCTTGGATGCAAAGGGCTGACTGCAAAGTTATATTCAGATTTTCAACTGCTGGGGGCTGATGACCCTAACCCCCTCGTTGTTTGGGGTAGACTGTAGTTGGTATTTTGTAAAAGTGGCTCAATTCCAGGTATCAAAATAGAATTTCTTCCTTTATTTTAATGTAAAACTTGCTGGGTTCCAAAATCACTGTGGACGGTGACTGCAGCCATGAAATTAAGAGATGCTTGCTCCTTGGAAGAAAAGCTATGACCAACCTAAACAGTGTATTAAAAAGAAGAGACATCACTTTGCTGACAAAGGTTCATATAATCAAAGCTATGGTTTTTCTAGTGGTCAGGTATGGATGTGAGAGTTGGACCATAAAGAAGACTGAGCCCCAAAGAATTGATGCTTTCGAATGGTGGAGCTAGAAAAGACTCTTGAGAGTCCCCTGGACTGCAAGGAGATCAAAGCAGTCAGTCCTAAAGGTCATCAACTCTGAGTATTCATTAGAAGAACTGATGTTGAAGCTCCAATACTCTGGCCACCTGATATGAAGAACCAGCTCACTGGAAAAGACCCTGATGTTGGGAAAGATTTGAAGGCAGGAGAAGAAAGGGACGACAGAGGATGAGATAGTTGGATGGCATCACCGACTCAATGGACATGAGTTTGGGTAAACTCCGGGAGTTGGTGATGGACAGGGAGGCCTGGCGTGCTGCAGTCCATGGGGTCGCAAAGAGTCGGACACAACTTAGCGACTGAACAACAACAGAAACTTGCAGAGCTGCCAGCCATACAGAAGGGCACCAGGCCCTGAGGGAGGAAGCCTGAGTACCTGGCAAGCACCAGCGCTCAATAAATGCTACTTCCTCCCTGGGAGGATGGGCCTGGTCACCCACTGTCCCCATTCGGCCTGCACCTCCTGCCCCCATCTCCTGCGTCACACACACACGCATCTTCAAGGATCAAGAGCGGGGAGCGTGGACACAGAGGAAACATCTAGGACAGTGACTCCATGATTTCCAAGCTTGAGCCCTCAAGGCTTAATGTGGAAAACTGACTGAATAACCTGGAAGCCAGTCTCCGGAGGGCTGACCCAACCGCCTCCTTGGGACTGTCAGGGTGAGTGCCTTGAGGCTCCTCCATCACCAGCAGCCAGCGCAGCCCTGCCTGCTGAGAGGACGTTTCTGAGATGGGGGAGGGAGCAGGTCAGCCACTCCCGAGCTAGGCGGGGGCTCACACAGCACAGCAGAGATGCGCCGCTGGGGTGCGGGGGCCTCACCTGTCGCTCGGGATCCTCGCAGTCCTCCTCCGTCTGCTTCCTGGCCTTGTCCGGGCGCCACGGCCGCCAGTGCCTGTGGTCTCGGGACCGCTCGGCGGCCAGCCAGATCCGCCACCGGGGCAGAGTCTTGTCTCTGATATCCTGCTCCTCGTCCTCCAGCTCCTCGTCCTCGTCATCTAGGCAAAAATGAAACTTCCAGCAACCGAACCAGCGGACGGCGCCGCCCTCAACCCTTAAACCCATCTGCTTGGCCAGGGACGGGGTCACACCCAGAAGGCTGAGACAAACGTGACCCAGGCCCGGCCTTCTGGGCCACTCAGTGGCATTTACGGACTCTCCCATAATCAGTCAGGTTCCCAGGAAAGGAAGGTGAGCCGATGAATCAGATGATTTTTTTATGCTATCACAGCAATTAAAAATGGGAATGACATATTTTAGAAGAGAACTGTCCAGGAGAACTTTCTGTGATGATGAGAATGTTCTAATTCTGTGTGATATGGTAGCCACATGTGACTTGCTGGGCACTTGAATTGTAGCCGGTAGAATAACTGAATTTCAAATTTTATTTCAACTAATTTTAATTAAAACAGCCATGTGTTGCTAGTAGCTACTGTATTGCACAACACATTCCAGAATGTTAAAGGACATTTAATGATAGCACTGCTTTAGGTTTTCTTAAGCTGCCAGAATTTCTAGCCAGTGGCCCTATGATTATCAGCATGTTCACTTTTTCTTTTCAAGAAAGAGGCAATTCAAGATATCCTATATTTTATTTTACTTTGTTTCCTAACCCTGAACATGCAGACTAAAAAAGAGTCTTCCATTAAAGTTCAATATTTAAAAATAAACAGAGTATGTAAAATGGTACGGCCACCCAGAAAACAGTCTGGCAGTTTCTTATGAAACTATAATGCACTGACCGTAAGACCTAGAAATTGTATTCTTGGGTGCTGATCCCAGAAAAATGAAAAAGTACATTCACACAAAAACTTTTACACTAATGCCCACAGCAGTTTTATTCACAAAAGCCAAAAACTGGCAATGACCCGTGTCCTACACTAGGCCACTAGAGAAAGTACAGTACAGCTATGCCACGAACAAAACTGCTGATAAACGCACAATGTGGAGATCTCATGGGGATTCTGCCAGATGAGAAAAAGCCAATCTTCAAAAGTTATACAGAAAACAACTGTCAGTGAGGATGTGAGGACAACGGAACCCTGGTGCGCTGGTGCTGAGGAGGCGAAATCGTGCAGCTGATGTGGAAAAACTGTGTGAGGTTCCTCAAAGAAGTAGACAGAATTACCACATGAGCTGGCAGTTCCACTTCTGGGTCTATTTCCCAAAGAACTGAAAGGAAGGACTCAAACAGGTATTTGCACATTCACGGTCCGAGCGGTACATTCACAACTGCCGAAAGGTGAAGCGATGCGTCGTGTGTGTGATATATGCATCCGGTGGGAAATCGCTTAGCCTTAAAAAGGGAAGAAACACGGACACATGCTCCGCGCCGTGTAAGCGCCGAGGACACGACGCTGTGGAACAAGCAGCACTGACTGCGCATGCGCTGCTCTTCAGCGCCTGCGGGTGGCAGTCGGTGCAGGGGGCCAAAGCGCGAAGCGGGGAGCGAGCTGAACCGGGGTCGGGGCCGCCGGGGGAGGCGGAGGACCTGAGACGGATGGTGATGATGGGTGACAAGCGTCTGAATGTGACTGATGTCACTGAACTGCATACTTAAAGATGGCTAGAATGGTAAATGGTGTGTGTGTTTTACAACTAGAAATGTTGAAAAGGGTCACGTATGATTCCCTATATAAACAGGTGAGAGAACACAGCAGTGAACGGAAACGGAGACGGGATTCGCGGTGGGGTGAGCAGAAGGGGGCGCACGGGGGCCTCGAGGGAGGCGGGGGCTGCCTGAAGCCGCAGGCGGGGTAAATGCAGAGCGCTGAGCAGACACAGGCGGAAATGGGCGCCTGCAACGCGGGCGAAATCTGAGCGACGCTGCGGACGTACCAGCAGTGACTCCCGCGCCCGGGGCAGCGGGTGAAGGGTGCACAGGACCTCCCGGTGTACTTTCTCCCCAGCTTCTTGGCGGGGGTTGGGGGGCTGCTTTAAGGTGTCTAGGGGAAGAACAGCCTACACTCCCCGGTCTTTCACCGCATGCATTTCTGAGGTTTTGGGATCTGTATCACGTTCTTGAGTCACTGGTGAATCGCTTACACACACAAACAAGCCAGGAGGATGTAAACACCCCGCGAGGAAGAGGCTGCGGCCTCTGCGCGGAGAGGCGCCTCACCTGGGCTGACGGCCACCCAGCCGCCCCACTCCTGCTGGTGCATCCAGGCTCTCCAGCCTCGGGCGCCCTTCTCCCCGGCCCGGGGCTCGCCGCTGTCCCAGAAGGGCTCAAAGAACTCCACCTGTCGAGGTGTAAAACATGGAGGTTAGCCGCCACGTTCAGCTCTGTGCCAACAAGCTCCGAGTCCCTACCGTCTGTTGGGAAGATGTATTGAGGTTTGGTCATGCGCTCCGAGTATTCGAAGCCTCAAGCGCCGTGGACTGGTCCTGGGCCAGGCTTCAGTCCAGGGCGGTGCCCCGACCCTCGTCAGCAACCCCTCCCATCAGAGACTGTCAGTCAAGGGGCAGGGATGAGGGGACCTCTGACCCCGACCCCTGACCACGCCCCAGGCTCTGCAGAGAGACTGAGGCACTTATGTAGTACAGCCCGTTCTTAAAAACAGTAAAACACGTCTTAAAATAACTGTGTTACCTGGCTTACTATACTAACAATCAGTTATGTCAATACTAACCAATATTCCTGAACCCAATTTTGTCCAGAAAACAAAGGTTAAAAATAATGACGATAAAAACAGTTTTTGCAGGCCATTCATGAAAGCTCCACAAGATGGAGACCTCAGCCTGTCACGAAAGACCTTGGAAAGTCCACCATAAACTGAGATACCCTGTCCATCTCCTACCAGACCTTCTTCATGAAGTAGAAAACTGAGTTTTCTTAAGTGGAAAAAGGGAAAAGGTTTTCTTATATCCCTCCCCTACCACCCAAATTAGGATCAGTGTTGACAAAGCACCAACATGTAATTTCACTGCAACTTCAGCCAAGGTCTTAGGTGGAGGAAAGGGTAACCCGGGAGAGACATGAAATGCGGGTTAGAATGCAGAGGCAGGAGAGCGGACCCGCGGTTTAAAAGCTATGATACGACTTCCCTGGTGGCTCATTGGTAAAGAATCTGCCTGCCAATGCAGGGGACACAAGTTCGATCCCTGGTCCAAGAAGATCCTACATGCCTCAGGCAGACAACTAAGCCCGTGCATGACAGCTCCTGAGTCTGCGCCCCAGAGCCCGGGGTCATGACTCCTGAGTCTGCGCCCCAGAGCCCGGGGTCACGACTCCTGAGTCTGCGCCCCAGAGCCCGGGGTCACGACTCCTGAGTCTGCGCCCCAGAGCCTGGGGGTTCTAAGTACTGAAGCTGAAACACTCTAGAGCCCCTGTTCCACATCAAGAGAAACCACCGCAATGAGAAGCCCAAGCGCCACATCTAGAGAACAGCCTGCCCAGAGACCTAGTCAAATAAAATATAAAATTATGAAAAAATTTTAAAAAAATACAAGGCATGATAACTGCTTCCCTGGTTGTGGGTGGTAACTAGCATTTAAACAGGGGCTGATAGTAAGGGGGAAAAAAAGGACATCAGTGAGTCTATAGCTGGGGAGGTGGAGAGAACGTCTTTCAGCTCTCAATGCTTCACTACTTTTGTGATGGAATTTTCCTAGGATTGCCAGGATATTTCTGAGACAACCCTCAACTGATGTAAGGAGGATATAAATATTTTGAAAATACTACCACCAACCCCTATTACCCACACCCCTACCTAAAAGAGGGAGGGGTGGAGACAGGAGCCGGGGGCTCAGGCAGGACACGCACCTGGCCTTTGGTGGGCAGGCCCTTCACACTGTCGGGCTTGAAGAACGTGAAGTCGACCATGGCCTGGAACAGACAGACGGCCTTCTCGGAGTGGCCTGCCTGCCGCAGGAAGTGGCACTGCTGGAGGAAGAGGGCTGAGGGTGGGAGAGCAGAGGGGACAAGCCTGGTGAGCACCTGGACGGGGAGAGGCCAGCTCCCACAGCATGCAGCTCAGCATCCGGCCGCCTTCTCCCCGAAACCAGCGACTGTCGTAGCTTCCAGTTGGTGAGACAAGCAGGTCCTGACTTTAAAGGACCCAAGTAACATACTGCAGTCATAGTACATTTATTCTCATTTTTAAAGGAAACAGCCACAGAGTACAAATAGTAACGATAAAACAAGACCAGTGGATGGTCTGAATATTGGTTATCAAGTACTCTGAGCTCATTATTATGAGAAAAACTCTGGGAAAAGGATGGCGCAGTAGATTTTTTTTTTAATCAGAGAGCCAAGCTCTGTACTCAGTTGATCACTAGATGGCATTATTCACCAGCAATTTCCATCACAGACTCAGTCCTGCTGTAAACAAATCTGGGTTCCATGTCTGAAATTTTCAGTTCATTTAAACTGTGGTTCAATTCTCTCTATAAGATACTATTAAGCTGTTTGAGCATATCAACACATAATATCAGACATGAGCCCCTTTAAGGCAGTGACACAAATGTTTATTATTTCTAGAGCAATGTATTTCTTCTATCTTTAGAAATTAGTAGCAATATTCAATAGCAGGGATTTGATCAAAGAAACGCCTGCTACTGAGGCAGACGCTGAGCTAGGCTCCCCATGTACCGTCTCAGCTGACAGGCACAGCCTCCTGTGAAGCAGGTATTGGACTGCTGTTGCTGGGGGAGAAACTACAGCTCACACACATTAAGGAACCTGCCCAAGGTCACACAGGAGCTGTGAGGGGCAGACCCAGCACGCAGGTCAGGAGTGACACGCTCCAGGGTAACACGCCGTCACCCAGCACGCAGGTCAGGAGTGACACGCCCAGTGTAACACGCCGTCACCCAGCATGCAGGTCAGGAGTGACATGCTCTAGGGTAACACGCCATCACCCAGCATGCAGGTCAGGAGTGATATGCTCCAGGGTAACACGCCGTCTCTGGGATCTCATTACTGAACAAAATGTGTAACATAGTCTAGTCTCCTTTGGGACCTACTGAAAATGTTAACAGTATAATGATACCAGTAACCTGTATCTTTCAGTGATTTCCAGCCAGCCAGGGCACCCTGCAAGCGTGACCGCCTAAGCCCCCACAATGGGGTGAGATGTGGACATCTCAACAGATAAGGCCACCAAAAGCCAAAGCAGTTAAGAGACTGCATTTACCCGAATAACTAGTGGAAAAGTTGGAACTTCTAGTCTGGCAATATTTTCCGAACTGTACTGGCTTAATGCCTCCCGCTGCCCAGAAGGTGGCGGGGGGGGGACCCGTCATCAAAAGGAGTCATAATACCCTTTTTTAAGCATCAGTTTTATCAACTTAAGACTTTCCTAAAATAAATCAAAGATAAACTATTTTCAATGAAGCCAAAAGAAAGACCCACCCCTCCCACGTCACTGGACTGGGTCGCTGTCTTCTTACCAAACATGGCCTCCTCGGTGCCCGGCAGCTCGGGGTGGGAGACGATGCTGCCGTCCCTCACGGCAGACAGGGTGCTCAAGCACTTCCCGTAGAGACTCTGAATTTTTGATACAGAGAAGGTGCTGAACTGGCTCTGGCAAAACAACAGGTATTTCTGCCAGAGGGCTGTGTTGTTGGGATGTAAGAAGATCAGTTTCTGCCACTCTTTGAGCAGAGTGGCGGGCTCCCAGAACTCGGCGCAGAGCTTCAGCTTGGCGAGCTTCAGGTCCACACTGCTCGGGTTGCTCTCGATGGCCCGCTCCAGGACGGCCAGCTTCTTCTCCAGGACCAGCCGCAGGGACCGCTTCCGCGTCTCCGGCTCTCCTTCCTCCACGGCGTAGAGGCCCGGGCTTCTCATGACCTCGTCCTTGACAACAAAAGTACCCACTCACACAGGCAAGCAGAACCGGGGGCCCAGGTGTCGGCGCTGCTCGAGGAGTGACTTACGAGGCCCACAGGGCTGCTCGCTCCACACAACCAACTGCTCTTTGGGTTGGTAGCTCTGGTCTTGTGTTTGGGGTTGGGAGTTTAGTCGGTAAGACACGTCCGACTCGCTGAGACCCCATGGACTGTAGCCCGCCAGGCGCCCCTGTCCATGGGACTCTCCAGGCAAGAATACTGAAGTGGGTTGCCATTTCCTCCTCCAGGGATATTCCTGACCCAGGGATCGAACGAACCCCCATCTCTTACGTCTCCTGCACTGGCACCACCTGGGAAGCCCTGTCCACTCTCTTATCTCCTGAGAGCTCCTTGGACTGCAAGGAGATCCAACCAGTCCATCCTAAAGGAGATCAGTCCTGAATATTCATTGGAAGGACTGATGCTGAAGTTGAAACTCGAATCCTTTGGCCATCTGATGCAAAGAACTGACTCATTTGGAAAAGACCCTGATGCTGGGAAAGATTGCAGGCAGGCGAAGGGGATGACAGAGGATGAGATGGTTGGATGGCATCACCGACTCAATGGACATGAGTTTGGGTAAACTCCAGGAGTTGGTGATGGACAGGGAGGCCTGGCGTGCTGCAGTCCATGGGGTCGCAAAGAGTCGGACACAAATGAGCGACTGAACTGAACTGATTTACTTATTTACCTGGCTGCGCCAGGTCTCAGCTGCAGCTTGTGGTATCTAGTTCCCTGGCCAGGGATTGAACCCGAGCCCTCTGCACGTGCAGCACGGAGACTTAGGCACTGGACTACCTCGAGAGTCCCCATCATTTTAAAGTTAGATTTCTGTATCAATAACTAGCATGCAGTGTCTTGAAAATCTTTTCTGAAAAGCCGATTTTACCAATAACACAGCCAAATGTGGGACAAATGTGGTAATTACATAAGTGGTTCCAAAAATAAGTGGGACAAAGACAGATCCATGTATTTCAGAAAGGGAGCTGGTAGCTCTAGCCATGTCACTGCCGACCACCCTGTGCACTTTGCATGTTCTCTTGAACTTCAGGAACGCCTCCCCGCTGCGTGGCGAACACCCACCCCCTTTCTGTTCACAGTTCACCATCTCTTGGAGGCCACTTCTTACTCCCGAGTGGCCAGTCACCACCTCATTCCATCCCCAGCTTCTACGTCACAGCGTGTCCTGCCCCAGACTGCAGCTACCCCTCGCACATCAGTCTTCGTCACTGGGCTTTGAGCAGACTCGGGGCAAGGGCTCTATTCTAACCTTTAGAGGCCCGGCACCAGGGTTCCTCACAGGAGCTCAACAGTCACTGCAGGATAAACCAGTGCCCAACATTAGGGCCATCAAACCCAGGCAGGAGAACTGGGACAGTGAGGCTTACCTGGAAGGCAACAAAAGCCATCCACAGCTCTGTGTCCCGAGGGTTCTCCCGAACCTTCCTGTTAAACTCCTCCACCCTGGCCTTGAGGAGCGCGCTCTCTCGGTCGGGCTGTGAGTCTGGTGGCCTGGACTCCTGCTCCGAAGGACCCTGTCCCTGTAACCACTGCGTTGTGGCCTGATCGTAAATCCCCAGCGGGTTCAGCCAGCTGGCAGCAGAGGGAGCTGCGTCGTCCACGCCCCCCACCGGGATAAAGGAGAGCGGCTGGGATGACGGAGCTACAGGCTGCCTGCTGACGGAGAGGCCGGCCTCGCTCATTAACCCCACGCTCTTCTTCATGAAGTAGCGTTCAATGTGCTTGTGGGAACGCTTCTTTTCTGTGGAAGTCCCCTCCCAAGACACACACTGCTTCTTCGGGTTGAGGCCGAGGCAGGAGTCTCCTTTCCTCTTGTATCTAATGTTTGAAAAAGAAAACAGGTTACCGAGAGAACGCGCGCACTGGCTCCATGGACTGAAGGCCCAGCAGACACTCTTGTTCCGCCAGTTAAGTTCACATATTCACACTCACCTTCCCTTCAAACTGTTTCTATTCAGAGAAGTTCGAGGACTTTTCCTCTACTGTGCCATTCATCTACGTCTCAGGAATTTCAGAACACGCCTGTCTCCCAGACCTTAGTACCTATGCTCCCCCGAGCTCTGCACAGCATGTCACCGCGCCCCCTCAGGCCACACCGCGTGTGATGGGCGAGGGGACACCATCGTCTCCCCCGAGCTCTGCACGGCGTGTCACCGCGCCCCCTCAGGCCGCACCGCGTGTGACAGGAGAGGGGACACCATCGTCTCCCCCGAGCTCTGCACAGCGTGTCACCACGTCCCCTCAGGCCGCACCGCGTGTGACAGGAGAGGGGACGCCATCGTCTCCCCCGAGCTCTGCACAGCGTGTCACTGCGTCCCCTCAGGCCGCACCGCGTGTGACAGGAGAGGGGACGCCATTGTCTCCCCCCTGCACAGCATGTCACCACGTCCCCTCAGGCCGCACTGCGTGTGACAGGAGAGGGGACGCCATTGTCTCCCCCCTGCACGGCGTGTCACCACGTCCCCTCAGGCCGCACCGCGTGTGACAGGAGAGGGGACGCCATTGTCTCCCCCCTGCACAGCATGTCACCACGTCCCCTCAGGCTGCACCGCGTGTGACAGGAGAGGGGACGCCATTCATCTCCCCTGAGCTCTGCACGGCGTGTCACCGCGTCCCCTCAGGCTGCACCGCGTGTGACAGGAGAGGGGACGCCATCGTCTCCCCCGAGCTCTGCACGGAGTGTCATCGCGCCCCCTCAGGCTGCACCGCGTGTGACGGGCGAGGGGACGCCATTCATCTCCCCTGAGCTCTGCACAGCGTGTCACCACGTCCCCTCAGGCCGCACCGCGTGTGACAGGAGAGGGGACGCCATCGTCTCCCCCGAGCTCTGCACAGCGTGTCACCACGTCCCCTCAGGCCGCACTGCGTGTGACAGGAGAGGGGACGCCATTGTCTCCCCCCTGCACAGCATGTCACCACGTCCCCTCAGGCCGCACCGCGTGTGACAGGAGAGGGGACGCCATTGTCTCCCCCCTGCACAGCATGTCACCACGTCCCCTCAGGCCGCACCGCGTGTGACAGGAGAGGGGACGCCATTGTCTCCCCCCTGCACGGCGTGTCACCACGTCCCCTCAGGCCGCACCGCGTGTGACAGGAGAGGGGACGCCATCGTCTCCCCTGAGCTCTGCACGGCGTGTCACCGCGCCCCCTCAGGCCGCACCGCGTGTGACAGGAGAGGGGACGCCATCGTCTCCCCCGAGCTCTGCACGGAGTGTCATCGCGCCCCCTCAGGCTGCACCGCATGTGACGGGCGAGGGGACGCCATCGTCTCCCCCGAGCTCTTCACGGCGTGTCACTGCGTCCCCTCAGGCCGCACCGCGTGTGACAGGAGAGGGGACGCCATCGTCTCCCCCCTGGCCTCATTCTTCAGTAAGGACGCTGAGGCCTCAGGTGACACTGGGTCCTTCGTCTCCGGGACCAGGCCCTTTTCCTCTCTTCTGTCTACTTCAGAAGATAACAGAGAGGTCTAAGGTTCTTTTTTTAATCCTGAGACAAAGTGTGTCAAATAAAATTACATTTGGCTATTTTCTACTCTACAGGAAGAGAGGCTGGGTTCTAAAATCCTTTTATGGCTCGTGTAGGCGTCCCCGGAGCTCCAAACGCATGACTACAGAGTATCTGTACAAAGCTAAGGAAGACAGGGCCCTTTGCCGTGTGTGTGTGCTCCACAAACAACCCAATTAGAACATCTGCAAATGACCTGAGCAGAAGCGGCACGAAAGACACGCACGGCCGATAAGCACGTAACAGGTGGTCAGCCTCATCAGCCACCGAGGAAAGGCAAGCAGGAACCACGGCACGCTGGAGCACAGACCACCAGGACAGGGCGATGGACACCCCGACGAGGGGCCCGCAGGGGGCTGGGCCTCACACGCCGCTGGGGGGATGTCAACAGGCACAATCACTTGGGGAAAAGGTCTGGCAGTTTAAAAAAAAAACGAAACCTAAACATAGACCTCACCCATGACCTAGCAATTCTATTCCTAGATATTTACCCAAGAAAAAGGAAACCACAATCCTACAAAAAGAGCTGTGCACAAGTGTTCTCGGCAGCTTTATTCATCACAGCCGATGCTGGAGGACATCCAGGTACCCAACAGGAGAAGGGACAGAACGGTGGTGTGGCAGCGGGCGGGACACGCCCACCAGGAAGGAGGAGTCAGACACGGAGGAGGGCACGCTGCTCGACTCCGTTTACGTGAAATCCTGAAACAGACATAACCGCTGATGGAAAAAACTCAGGACAGTGATCCTCTCCGGGAGGTGGGGTGTGGACAGAGTGGAAAGGGGCCTGAGGAAACTCTGCAGGAGGCTGAGTGGCGGGTGGACGAGGGACATGCGCCCTGTGTTTCCAGCCGCTGCCCACCGCTCGCGTCCCTGCTGAGCCCCTCCTCGGGTCAGCCAGCAGCAGCAGGACGTGAGACCCTCGCGGGAGCGTGGGCCCCACCGTGCAGGCGTCAGCCCGAAACCACTCCCCTCACCACACCTCTGTCCGTGGAAACTGGTCTCTGGTGCCAAAAAGATTGGGGACTGCTGCCCTAAGAAACAAGTGCTAAGTTAAAAACGAGTTTTGTTCTCCCTAATTACTATTTTCACTGAAAGTCAACAGTGTTTTAGATATTCAAGTGATCTTTTAAAAAATGGTTGCTGAGTTATCTGACTTTAAAACTGTATTTTGTAACGGTGATTTTAATAGCTTCCTTTTGTAGCAAACTAGATGAACATGATACAGGAGAAAAAAGCATGCAGCTATTAAGTATCAACACTCAGATAATGTGCATATGTGTTACGCACATTCATTTACATACCCTGGTTTTAAATAGCTGATAAACAGATTCAGGCTTTTCTCCCTACTTTTAAGCATTTCTTCATAGCACTAGTTTCAGAAAACAACCATTTTTATTGACTTCAAACTGGCTCACTAGAAGTGTCCCATAATTTATTTAACCATTTCTCTCTTGTTGTACATTTAGGTTCTACCCAATTTATCACTTATCATAAGATCTAAATTACTGGACCGGGCCTGGGATGTAATTTAATGCAATAGTTCCCCCAAATAAAGACACTTTTCCTATAAAATCCTCATCAAGTAATCAGCTAGTCTTCAGTTGAATAATCCCAGAGGCAGGGACACGCATTTTGCCTGGAGGTTTAGTGAATGATGTCAAATGTACCTGTTACAAAACCAGACACAGGCACTCAGGGCCTCCCGATGGCCCGAATGGCAAAGAATCCACCTGCCAATGCAGGAGAGGCAAGAGACGTGGGTTCCATCCCTAGGTCGGGAAGGTTCCCTGGAGGAGGGCATGGCAACCCACTCCAGTACTCTTGCCTGGAAAATTCCATGGACAGAGGAGCCTGGTAAGTTACAGTCCATAGGGTTGCAAAAGAGTCGGTCACGACTAGCAACTGAGCACACACATTAGGCATTTAGTCACCAGGAGAAAAAAGAGAGAGAGAGAAATGAAAAGAGAAAACAAGAGAGGACAAGGGCTTGGGAAGTGAATGTGTTTAAATCAAGTGCCCAATTCTGCCCTGAGTCCACTCAGCAGGTCTGGGTCCCGGAGTGAGCTGGGCTGGGCAACACAAATCTGCCTTTCCTTTGGCGAATTCAATTCACACAGGCCTTCTCAGAGTCTTGACTGCCTTGGTCCAAATTCAGCTCCTTCACTTACTAAGCTGGGTGACTGTAATCAAGTTTTAAAAAACAAACTGTTTGTTTGTTTGCCTCAGTTTCCTCGTCTGTAAAATGGTGACCATAACAGTAATTTATGTCGCAGAATTGCTAGGATGATCAAGAAAGTTTATATATGTAAAGGGCTAAGCCATACAGTAAGGACTAGATGAGTTTAAATTATCATTATTATTTCATGTAACTTGGCTCCTAAACAAGAGACAACTATTTCAGCTGGTGGATAGCCAAAGAAAAAATAAACTCTTCCAAAAATGGCAAAAAAAAAAAAAAAGCTGAACTTCACTGACAGTGCATTGGTCCTAGGGAACTTTCCGAAGGTAACTTGGACTCGTTCCACACTAACTTTAGAACCTGACCCCTGTTTACCACAATGCTTCAACACACTGCACACCATTGCTGGGATGCTCACACTCTTAGATCTGCTTTTATGCTGAGCCAAACTTCCACTCACTGGTCCTGGTGCCATTTCCCAAGTTACACAGGACTCTGCCAACCCACCTTCCCAAGTGCAGCAAAGCCTACCAGACGAAGACGGTGTCCCTGACACAGGCTGGTACCCACAGCCCTCACCCAGTCCTCACGTGACGGTCTTAGCCACGTGTCTGCTCACTGTCTTGCCAAAGCTCGCAGTTTGTCAGGAACTCTCTCAAGTGTGAAAATTCAGGGCCTGACACTGTGTCCCCACCGTCCTGACCAGCTCGGCGTGCCACGGGACCACCACCTTCACAGAGCGGGGCGCTAACAGCTGCCAGCTGTTACTCTGGGCAAGACTTTACCTGACTTGAGCTTTAGCGAATTACTATGGAGTCTCACCGATGTCCTACACCCTCTGGAGCAGTCTCTTTGCGGTTGAGATGAATCAAGTTGTCTCTAATCACTCTCTTCCTCAGCTCTGGCCACTCACCAGCAGAGGTTCAGAAGCCACTCTCTGTTAATATTGCTTCCTTTTTTTAATCTAGTACGAGGCAGTAAGCCTTTATCTTTGCACACCAATTTCTAATTCCTTATCAAATATTTCTGATATTTGAGTGTGAGGCACAGTAGGAGTTACAATTTCCAGTTTACAAATGAAGATACAGGGGCTCAGAAAGGTTAAGTCAGCGGTCCCTTTTTGGCACCAGGGACCTGTCTCCTGGAAGACTTTTTTTCCAGTAACAGGAGGGGTGGGTCAGCACTGAGGAGCAGATGACGCTGTGCTCACTCGCCCCCCACCTCCGGCTGTGTGGCGGGGTTCCCCACAGGGCACAGGGCCGACCCGGGGGCTGGGGACCCCTGGGATAGGGTACTAGTCACCGGCAAAGTCAGAAGGAGAACCAGCATCTTCTGTTTCCCAACCTAGAAAATGTCCAACCACAGAACCTGTCTCTTCCTTGGGGATGGTGGAAGAGCATCAGAGAAGTACAGGCGTGAATCCCAACCCTCTTACTTCCTGGTGCATGACCTTCCGAAGGTATCTGCATCCCTGAGATTCCTCTCCTGGCTGAGTAAGGTCAGAGAGCCTCCTCCTGGAGCAGCTGGGAGCCGGCAGGCTGACTCCAGCGGCAGAAAAGCACAGGCTGGCGCTGCCCCCTCCGTGCTGCCAGCGTTCATAGGGTCTCCCCTTGCTGTGGCATGAAAGACCAAGGAGGGCTTCAGGGAGCACTGGTATCACTCCAAAATACACACACTATAAACATGAGGGTCATTAACCCCGCCACGAGGCTTCAGGAGACCGTATGCAGACACAAACATGCACCAAAAAATAACTGATGTCAGCTCATCATGAAGGGAATTATTGCTGGAGTTGCTTATGTGGTGAGCTACAATGTCACGCGGAGTGACACCCTAATTAAAAGGCGGAGGGGCGCCAAAGGGATGGGAGCAAAAATTTACTTTAAAAGGTAATAAAAAAAAAAAAAAAGGTAATCAGCCCATGAAGAATGATCACCAACTTCAAGGCCTCCTCTTGGCTGTATATCCCATGATTCTCTACCTTCAGTTTTCACTACCTCCTGGCTGTTTGGGAGCAAGGGACTGAGTATTATTGCTCACTATGTCCTACAAAGTACCAAGCGTCTGAAGAATGTACTGAGGATTCAGCTGTTTCTGACTGACAGATGAGAGGAGAGAAGCTGCTCCTCTGAAAGAGCCCCTTTCCACGGGCGGAGAGCTCCTCTCCCGCGCGGCGCTGGCTTCTGCCGCAATGGTGAGCCAGCTGCACCCGCAGAGGCCGTCCTTTGCTGACCGCTCCCGCTGAGGCCAGCAGGGCGCTGAGGAGGGCTGTCTGTGCGGGGCAGCGGTCTGCTTCAGACTCGGCCCCGGCGGTGTGCACGCGTCAGTCCCCCCCGCGTCCTCCCCCACACACCCCCTGCCCCGTGGGGTCCGTATGTCTGCTCTCTACCGCTGTCTGCTTTGCAAATAAGATCATCTATACTACTTTTTCTTGATTCTGCATATATGCATTAATATATGATAGAGAAAAAAGCTTAAACTCATTACTGAAGCAGATACCATCACCTGTTTTTATGATTATCTGGTGACATATGCTAGAAACGTTTTGAACAAGTCACTATCATTTAATGTCATTTTTTAAAAATGGCATGCGTGGGGGGTGGTTTGGATAAATAAAAGGCTTTTGTAACTTTTAAGCAAGGCATATAGATTAAACCAAATGATTTATGAGTAGTCACAATTGGTTCAAGGTATTTTTAGACCCATTCAATCTACAAATATCCATTGAACACCTACTGTGCCACACACTATGCCAAGTACCATGGCTGAATGAGATTAATCCAACCTGGATCCTGATCTCCAGGTTTAAACTTTCATTTTACAGTGTGAGATGACTCACCTTCTACTGTGTATGCCTAAACAAGTGAACAGTGGATAAAGCTCAACAGTCAATGGGGGGGAGTCAGGGGGACACAGACACAGTGCTGAGAGCTCACAGCAGACAGAAGTCCCCTCCCACCAGTGACGACCAGAGAAACACGTCGAGACACACACCTCGCAATATCTCCTCGGTAAAGAGACTTATACTCCCAGTTGGCAGGATCCGGTTTCTTATCCATTCGGAAGGTTTCTCCCGTCAGAGCCTGGATGTCCTCAAGCCAAACACAGTGACGTCCAGTGTCCGCGGCGGCATTATTTCCTTGACTGTGGGACAGAGGAGGGTGAAGAAGGAAAAGGGAGCGGCATTTAGAAACCCCCAGTTACATACTTCACGTCTCAGAAGCGTGAACGTGAAACACGTCAGAGCCCTTACGGCCTCGCGCACACCTCCTGCAGACGATGTGTGCCCGCCAAAAAGACGGGCTCCTGCTCTGGAGAGCGCGTTAAAGTACAAAGTGAAGACTGTCTTAAGTGACACTTTACCAAAAAGAGAAGTCAACTGATCCCAAAAATAAACATGAAAGATACAGGTGTCTTTAAAAAATAACAGTAATAATTCATTTAAATGATCATCACTTGACTTTCAAACATATTTACACACAAGGTTTCTTCTTGAAAGGAAGAAAAAGAAAGAAAGGAATAAATGAAGGAGGGAAAATAAGGCTGCCCTTACTTTGCCTAATTTATTTGAAAGTGCTCAGATAATTGATTTAACCAAAACTTAACGACAAAACAAAGCCGCAGCTCCGAGTGCTTCCATCTCCAGTATTGCCAAGACATGGTCCCAGGCTCCTTTTTACAGTCTGGGCTCTATGCAGGGCGTTCTGCCTACACAAGGACCTCGACCGAAAGGGCAGAGAGTCCACTGTAAAACAGGACCCTTATTTATCACTTTGAACCAGTCTGTGACATGGTAGACTTTCAGCTCAGACACAAAAAGAACCAGTTCCTTAGGAGTCAACTAAGAGGAGGGGAAAGGTTTTTCTGGCATCTAACATCTTTCTTCCTCTAAAGAAAATCATTCATAATGCTCCTGACAAAAGAGGCTGCCAAACGAGTCACAACAGCCATGAAGTGTTGTTCCATCTTTGCTTTTTGGCTTCACCCAGATAGAAATCAAGATTCTCCAGGCTTCTAAACCATTCCTGGCTGGGAACGCGAGGGCATGGTATTCCAGGGATGCAAAGTAGCTACTCAATAAATATTTGCAGGATGATGCATCTTGGGTTAAAATACATGGTGAGGTTTAACTCACGCCCCTCCAGAACAACTGTGGAGGGTTTTCTGAAGCCAAAAGCCGAAATCAGCAGCAAAAGGGATAGAAAGAGACCGATGCATTCCGGAAAGAGATGGAAAGCCAGCTGGGGGTGGGAAGGGCTGGCTGCAGACCACGCCTGGGGAGCCCCGAGCCCTTCATGCCTCCCCTACTGGGTCCCACAGTCAGGAAGCAGGATGCAGTCTGGGCTGTGCACACGTAAGGAAGTGCCACCACCTGGAAGTGAAGAGGAGCTCACCCTAGGACACAGAGGTCATCAGCAGCTGCGGGAGGCTGTCCCTGGACTCAGAGTCCCACACAGTACACACGCCCCCCAAGGCCCCCAAGCTGCTTTCCTGACCTCACAGGAGACACTCACGACTCACTAATATCTTAGCCCCTTGTCTAAATGGAAACAAGACCTCTTCCTGGTCGCCTTCCCAGGAAGAGACTGCACAAGTGAGTAGTAAGAACGAAAAAGACAAGGACAGCCCGCTCTGACCTTCATGGGGCCGTTCTACAAAATACCAACAGACTCAAAAACGCTGTCTGGATCATATAGCTGCCAAGAGACTGTAAAGATCACTTCTGATGTGGTTAGGCACAGGCTGAAAATAACTATCTTTCAAATTTCTTATGGTTGCTTCTGTACAGTTTCAGGAAACCCTTTAAAACTCATTTTCCTCAGTCATATAAATAAAAGAAAAGACAAATAGTTAAAGATGAGTCTTTGGAACACACAGCAACTAATGTATTTTGCTTTGAAGACATACTAAAAAGCAAGAACATCAGTGATATACTCATTCACTCATTCACACTAACAAAAATGTACTTGAGTGTTTACTACGCATCAGGCCCTGTGCCAGCTGCCCGGGGGACTCGATGGTGAGCCAGGCGGGAGTGGTTTCTGTCCACATGCTGTTGTTGCTGAGTCGCTCAGTCGTGTCCGACTCTGCAACCCCATGGACAGCCGCCCGCCAGGCTCCTCCGTCCATGGGATTCTCCAGGCAAGAATACTGGAGTGGGTCGCCATTCCCTTCTCCAGGGGATCTTCCTGACCAGGGACCAAACCTGCCTCTCCTGCCCTGTGGGCAGATTCTTAACTGAGCCCCCAGGGAAGCCCTCCTGCCCCAGAAATCCAGCCCGGTTTGGAGCCTCATTGCTGGACCCCTTTATCTCTCCCCCTCTAGGGCCACAGGTGCAGCACCTGAGACAGAGTGGGCTAAAGAAATGTGGACCCTCTGAGCCCCGAGGCCCGCAGCACTCTGCAACTCGGCTTTGATGACGGAGGACCCTGGGAGGCACGGTGTCTGTGTCTCTGATGGAGACCACAGGCCCGACTCCAGACGCGCTCCAACCGGAGCTCACTGAATCACGGGGACTCCTAACCACACAGCAAGGACAGATAATCCCTGAAGAGTCGCAAAAACCTTAACAGCACTACATTTTTTTAAGTATGCCTTGGGTAGGACTTAAAATTTTCCCTCATCTAGACCACACGAACAAAGAGAAGAAAAAACAGGATAAATGAGGAATAATTCAAGTAGTTTCACCACATACCACCTGTCTCATGTGTGGGCAAAGTGCCCCTCGTGCAGGGGGACGTTAGACTGAGTGGAGAGGAAAAGCTATGACGGGGGCTGATCTGCAGCGCGCCTCGGCCACTGTGGTCAGGGGAGACACGGGGAGAAAGGCCCCAAGGGGAGGAAGTGCTGCGGTCAGGAGCCACTCCACACCTTCAGCACAACGGCTGTAAACAAACGTGAGAGAAGGACAAACGCAATTATTTTCAGGGCTCTGTCGACCATAGCCAGACAGAGAGAGAGTGTGTCTGGAATACACACGGGGTTCTGTTCTTACACTCCTTTCCGTGATGGTCTCTCTCGGATACTGAACGGCTCCCGGGGCGGTGCAGCGGGGCCCCGCTGCGTGTGCCCCCCAACATGACAGCTCCCATAGCTCACCCCCTCCCCGTCCATCCCTGCCTTCACCGCCCACGTGGCAACCACGGGTCTGTCCTGTGTCTGCAGACGGGCGTTCTGACGTGAGTGACTGAAAGAAAGATGTATTGAGAAAGAGAAAGCTAAGACAAGTTTCTTACTTTTCACAAAAGTGTAAAACCAAGTCGTCAACTGGCCCACATGCCCACTGTGAGGCCTATCTGTCATCTTTCAAAAATCCTGTAGGCTTTTTGTCTGAATCAGATTTTGACACAATCATTGCTGCACCCAGATAACATTTCTCAAATAAAATCATGGCCCTATTTTTTTAATGAAAGTTTTCTTTTTTCTTTTCCTTTCTTTCACTGACCTAGTGACACAGCTCTGTTTTGTTTTTTTTCCCCCCAGTTTTACTGAGATATGTATTCACTCCATTTTGATTGAACGGCTAAATCACCATTCAAATGTCTTACTTGTGGCAACAAGGAAGGGAGGGAAACCCAAGGTTGACAAACCATAAACATCTGGGAACAGAAACCTACTTCAGTTTCTCTGACGCCCCTTTACTGGCTCTGGCGCCTCCGGGAGGCCGGTCCCTTTCAGAACTGGCGCCTGGCTCAGACCCACGGCTGCCCGAGCGCCCGCGCCTGCTCCTGGCTTCCCTGTGGTGCTCACGCTGCCTTCTCTTCTTTTTCTCTTTCTTCTTTTTCCTGCCTGCTTCTTTGGGCTTTCTGTTACTGTCGCTTTCATCTGAAGGCTCTGATTTTAGAGGACTCCTGTTTGGGAAGGTCAACATTAGAATTATTTTCAAAAGAGAATTAGGGAAATAATATGCAAGTAAACAAACATGCAAAAGGCAATTCTCTATAAACATCCACTCAGGCTTACTATTTGCCCATACATTATATAGTACCCTCCTGGCTTATACTTACCTTGGAGATTTAAAAGTTGGCTTATAAATTTACCTTCAAGATTTAAGAGTTGGACCTAAAATAACATTGGCTGAAGAGATTCTAATCTTCATGGCTTCTAAACCTATATTTTCATAGGTATACATTCTTAATCTACCAGTTATCAAATACAGTATCTTAAAAAATCTACAAAAGGTTTATTTTCAGTCCTATATATTATGCCAGGATGTTCTTAATGCCAAAAAGAAAAAGAAAATGGGTTTAAAGTTGGTCCTTGTTTTTCAAAGTTAGAATGAGCTCTTTCTCATTACTCCCTCTCATGCATGAACTAGTCTCAATTTCTAAAGGCTTCCCACACTTTTAGGTTACATCATATTAATGAGACTATTTGATCTATATTTGTGAGGGAGCTCATCTCTCAGTCCAGTGATCTGTAACAAAATTCTTCCAAAGCTGGGTAGAGATGTGTGCCTTTGATTTCCCCAAAGTTTTCATGAGATTTTTATCCTATGTTATTACAAAACCTATTTTTGCATGCAACTTCCATCTTTATGCAACTAAAGAAATATCTGAATTACAATATTCTAAAGGTGACTAATGAGGTTAATAAAGTTACTTAAGAATCACAATGATGCCATTTCCCTCATGGCCTAATTATTGGCAGTAACTGTGTCATGTACTTGCCACTGCAATGCAAAGGGGAAAAAAAAAAAGGATGATCTGTAAAGAGTGAGGTAAGGGAAAACAGTCAAAGATCACCCCATTACGTTTTGTAAAACAGAGTTTTTACTTAACTCTTTCATCACAAGGTTTTCTAAGGGTCACTATTCAAGCTAAGCTATAGGTGGTATGCTGACGAAGACTAAAAATCCGCCTATCAAAAAACTATCGTGGGCTTCCCTGGTGGCTTAGTGGTAAAGAATCTGCCCACCGATGCAGGAGACATGGGTTCAATTGCTGGTTCATCAGCAAAGATCTCACTGCCAGGGAGCAACTAAAGCCCGTGTGCCACAACTCCCGAGCCCACGCTCCAGAGCTCTGGAGAACCAACTCCCGAACCCATGCCCCCGAGCCCCAGAGACCCAACTCCCGAACCCATGCCCCCGAGCCCCAGAGACCCAACTCCTGAATCCACGCTGCAGACCCCGGGAGACGCAACTGCCCAGCCCACGCTCCAGAGCCCGGGAGACGCAACTGCCCAGCCCACGCTCCAGAGCCCGTGGGCCGACAGCCGCTGCCCCACAGCCAGAGAAGCCACCGCAGTGAGCAGCGGGACGCCGCCCCTCGAGGGGATCCTAGCCTCCGCAACTACAGAGAGGCCTGAGCAGTAATGAAGACCCAGCACAGCCAAAAGTAAAACAGGAATTAATACAATCATTAAAACAAACAAAATCTACCTCGTCAGTGGTGACCCTTCGGAAACTGGGGCTTTGGTGGCCTCTTCAGTTTGTTGGCTCAGAGATGTTATGGTTCCAACACAAAAGCTTGGGTTGCTCAGCCAGTCTAATTCTGCACACGGGCAAAGGGGAGAAAAGATGAGTGAAATTAGCTCAATGGACTTTCTCACGCTGGGAATCTATCTTACCAGCTGACATCCTAATTCACAACCAACGTCAGCCAGACATTCTGAACAGTCCACAGAGGCTGAAGGGAACCCATGAAATTCTTATTTCACAGGGCATGGGGCTTTAACGCACTCTAAAATATTTAAGACTGAAATCCTCTTGTGATACTGGGCTGCAGCTTAAGCAAAAGCCACATAACAAGTGTGGCCTAAAATGCAGCGAGACTGTATGTATTCCATTCACAAGCTAATGAGCATAAACCTCCCAAAGCATTAGGTTTTCCTGACCCCAAATTTTATTTAGACAATTCTAAAAAGTTAAAAAAAAAAAAAATCCATGCATAAAAACCTATCATACTTAGTAATACAGAAGATTCAGGTATTTTTATTCTTAAAAAAATTACAATGTTCTATCTTAGTATAGGTTACTTTGACCTGTTATACACTAACTTTGGACTTCCCAGGTAGCTCAGTGGTAAAGAATCCACCTGCCAAGGCAAGAGGTGTGGGTTCAATCTCTGAGTTAGGAATATTCCCTAGAGCAGGAAATGACAACCCACTCCAGTATTCTTGCCTGAGAAATCCCTCGGGTAGAGGAGCCTTACAGGCCACAGTCCATGGGGTTGCAAAAGAGTTGGACACAAGTCAGCAACTAAACAATAATCTTAGTAGAGTAACTTAACATAAGCTTTCCCTTATAACAGTGCTCTGTGAAAACAAAAACGGAAGGTGTCAACTTTTTAAATGAATGCTAAAATTATATAAGATATGAATAATGATTATCTCTGGGCAGTGAGGTTAAATGTCCAAAATATTTCTTCTTCCTGCTTATCCATTCATATCTGACTCTTCTACAATTTACAATTTCTAAATTACCTATCTTCTAACACTTAGCAGTCTTGGCTGGGAAGGAAGGAGAAACGTGGGGTGGCAGCGAGGCGGCCCATGGAGGGCAGGTACCTCGTCCTGCTCTTCTTGGGAGCCAGGGCATAATCCCATGCTCAGGAGAAAGAACGCACAATGTGGGAAGTGAAGTGGGCTGAAGTGGGAAGAGAGCACGGTGAACTACACTGTGTAACAGTTGTACTGGGACATAAGGTACAAGGCTCACCCATTTAAAGTGCACCAGTCAATGGTCTCTAGTGATTCTAGAATTCCGCCACCATCGCCATAATTTTAGAATGTCTCCACCCTTCCCAAAGAAGCCCCACACCTGTCATCAGTCATTCTCCAGCACCCGCCTCCTGCCCTCCCCACCCCCCCCACCACCACGAGCCCTAGGCAAGCACTGATCTATAGATCAGTGTCCATCTGATTTATATAGATCACTGTCTATAGATTTGCCTCTTTTGAACATTTTAAAATTCTGAAAGAGATGGGAATACCAGACCACCCAACCTGCCTCTTGAGAAACCTGTATGCAGGTCAGGAAGCAACAGTTAGAAATGGACATGGAACAACAGACTGGTTCCAAATAGGGAAAGGAGTACATTAAGGCTGTATATTGTCACCCGGCTTATTTAACTTATATGAAGAGTGCATCATGAGAAACGCTGGGCTGGATGAAGCACAAGCTGGAATCAAGATTGCCGGGAGAAATATCAATAACCTCAGATATGCAGATGACACCACCCTTATGGCAGAAAGTGAAGAAGAACTAAAGAGCCTCTTGATGAAAGAGGAGAGTGAAAAAGTTGGCTTAAAGCTCAACATTCAGAAAACTAAGATCATGGCATCTGGTCCCATCATTTCATGGCAAATAGATGGGGAAACAGTGGCTGACTTTATTTTGGGGGGCTTCAAAATGACTGCAGATGGTGATTGCAGCCATGAAATTAAAAGATGCTTACTCCTTGGAAGGAAAGTTATGACCAACCTAGATAGCATATTAAAAAGCAGAGACATTACTTTGCAACAAAGGTCCGTCTAGTCAAGTCTATGTTTTTTCCAGTGGTCATGGATGGATGTGAGAGCTGGACTATAAAGAAAGCTGAGCACCGAAGAATTGATGCTTTTGAACTGTGGTGTTGGAGTAGACTCTTGAGAGTCCCTTGGACTGCGAGGAGATCCAACCAGTCCATCCTAAAGGAGATCAGTCCTGGGTGTTCATTGGAAGGACTGATATTGAAGCTGAAACTCCAATACTTTGGCCACCTTATGCAGAGAGCTGACTCATTTGAAAAGATCGTGATGCTGGGAAACACTGAGGGCAGGAGGAGAAGGGGACGATGGAGGATGAGACGGTTGGATGGCATCACCGACTCAATGGACATGAGTTTGGGTAAACTACGGGAGTTGGTGATAGACAGGGAGGCCTGGTGTGCTGCAGTTCACGGGGCTGCAAAAAGTCAGACATGACTGAGCGACTGAGCTGAACTGAACTGAACATTTTAATATAAACAAGATCATTCAATATATGTTCTTTTGTAACTGGCTTCTTTCACTTGACATAATGTTTTCAAGGTTCATCTACGCTGTAGCATGTGTCAGTACTTCACTCCTTTTTACTGCAGAATAATCTCATTGAAAGGACCTTGATGCTTAGAAAGATTGAAGGCAAGAGGAGCAGGGGGCAACAGAGGATGAGATGGCTGGATGGCATCACCAGTTCAGTGGACATGAGTTTGAGCAAGCTCTGGGAGATGGTGAAGGACAGGGAAGCCTGGCGTGCTGCAATTCATGGGGTCATAAAGAGTTGGACATGACTTAGGGTCTGAAAAACAACAACAATTTTAGTTTATGGATGTCCATCTTCAGTTGAGGGACACCTTGTCCATCTTCAGTTGAGGGACCTCTTGTCCACTGTCAGTTGAGGGACACCTTGTCCATCTTCAGTTGAGGGACCTCTTGTCCACTGTCAGTTGAGGGACCTCTTGTCCATCTTCAGTTGAGGGACACCTTGTCCATCTTCAGTTGAGGGACACCTTGTCCATCTTCAGTTGAGGGACACCTTGTCCACTGTCAGTTGAGGGACACTTGGGTTGCTCTCGCTGTTTGGCTGCTGTAGCAAACCCTGCTATGAGCATTCAGGTACCGGTTTTTATGTGGACACACGTTTTCAGTCATCTTGGGCAACCATCTAGAAGCAGAACTGCTGGGTCCTATGGAAACCTATGTTCAGCACTTTGAGGAACTGCCAGATTGCTTTTCAAACTGGCTGCACCGTTTTATACTCCCATGAACAAGCTATGTATGAGGATTCCAATTTCTCCACATTGTTGCCAGCCCATCCCTCTGTATGGATCCCAGGCATCCTCCTGGGTGTGTTGTGTTCTCACTGTGGTTTTGATTTCTGTTTCCCTGGTGACTCAGTGTTGAGAATCTTCTCATGTGTTTGTTGGCCCTCCGTAATTCAGGATAAATAGTTATTCAAATCCTTGGCCCATTTTTTAATTGGGTTGTGTTTTTACTATTGAGTTGTAAGACTTCTTTACATATTCTGTATTCCAGGCCCTGATGCTAAGTGCATCGTAATGAGGACGGGATATTGGAACGCATGTTTCGAAGTTTCACTCACTGCTGTATCCCCAGCACTGAGACCAATGCCTGGCACGCATCAGTAGGAGTTTAATAAATATTTGTGGAAAAGAGGGGGTGGAGGAAGGAAGGAAAGCTCCTGAAGAGAGAAGAGAAAAAGTGCAGGAGAAAAGGGAAAGAAGAGAGGGAACCTAGGTTATGGAGGCCTGACTGCAGGCCAAGCAAGAGACTAAGCAACAGACACATTTAATCCTCACAACAACCCTCTGGGGGAGGAACCACAATCCTCACTGCGCAGAAGAGGAGACGCAGGGATGGAGTCACAGGTGCAGCCTGACTGAGGGGGCGCGGAGACGGCTGCTCATGCGGTCTCTCTTCTGCTGTCTCCTTTCTCCTCCTGTGGGGGTTCCCTTCCCTTGGGCCTGATTTCTGGCAAGAGGTATGTGAAAATAGTTCCTGTTGCTCACTGAGAGCCAGTTATGTTCACAATAATTGGATTCTGCCACACAGGAAAAAAAAAAGGTATTTTGACCTGATAAGAAGTTGCTGCAGCTTTTTTTGGGGGGTGGGGGGCAGGGCAGCTAGCATATTAGCAGTGAACACATGTAGAATATTTAATATTCACTGGATGTCAGGTTTAGAAAAATTGGGGAGATCACCTCGTCCAGAAATTTTCTAATTTTTTACCAAGGAACTCACTGTTGAAACGCAGTCTTTCAAAGAAATCCAAGATGCAGGAGAGAAGAAGCAGGCTGCTGCTGCTGAGGGCTCACAGGGAGCAGAGCCCTGATGCCCCTCCCTCCCCTACGGATCAGCAGTCAGAGGCCGGGGGAAGGGAAGTCACACACGCCCCACCCTGGGTCTCAACCCTCCACCCAGCCCCTTCTAACCACCACTGCGAGCTAACTCCTTCTCCTCAACAAAGGCGCTGGTTTTCCCAATTTTCTTTGCGGGTGGCACTGGGGACCATCGCGGCGACTCTCCTATTGAACCTCAGTACCTGCATGTCAGGTCTTCGGATGGGATTCTCAGCCAAAGGCCAACAACCCAGACCTTTACAGGGACCAGGCGAGTAGAGATTACTGTGACACTATCGAGAGTGGCAACAGGAAAAAAGAGAAAGACAAACGAAAATACTCTGCAGCCAAACAACTACGCTGGCTGCTCTGCACTCGGGCTGCCAAGGTTCCACGCCTCCGCACCTCCCACTTCCTCCTTCCCAAAGCAGAAGCCACAGGAGGGCAGGAGCCACGACGACGGCTCTCCTGCGCCTCTACTCCTGGCGCAGTGCCTGTACCAGGCACAAAGCAGCTGCAGTCAGCAAGGATTTGTTGAATCAGTAAAATGAATCGCACCTGTGCATCCTTGTACCTCAGCACCTGATTTACAGAACTGAAAGAGTCTGAGATTGTCAAAAGGACGCCATTATCTAGGTATAAAGCTCAACTTTATAATTTTTCTGGTCTTC